AAAACTGAATTGAATTGAATCAAAGTGTATAGAAAGTTGTATTTTTGCATATTTTCTCCAGAAATTCCATGTCACATGGCTGACAATCTGAAAAAGACCTTTTCCCTGACTACTGAAAAGACATTTTGAAAATACATTATCGCTGTAATTCTTTTAGCCTTCCAACTGTGATAAACCCTGGATTGAAACACAGGCACAGGAGAGGTTACATAAGTGCATTTCTCCACTCTGCCAGCTTCATACTTTGTCTACCAACCAGCTGAGCAAACCCATATAATCTACTTCAAACAAAGTAATACAGAGGACGAGGAATAATTTCCGTTAGCGTCAAGAAATCAGAGAATAAAATGGTGCTGTGTGTTTACATGTCCTGAATAAGCATCAGCAGCCTAAAATTAGCACCGGTCTCCACAGGAGTATAAACGATCAATAAGAGCTGGTTTAGAAACGAACAAGAACAAACCCGAGAGGAAGTTGTGCCAGAATGATTTTTTTTAAATATCCCACTTCCACTTTTGTCTTTTGCACCCTTCTTGAGTTCATGTTTCTTAATCTATGCCCTCTCACACAGTGCCAAGCACAGCCACAGTAGCGAGGAGATAAAAAGGATTGGTGACAATTGCAATTGCATTGATGTACTTACAGCTGCTTAGACAGGAAATGCTATCACACCCGCAAATTTACACACTTGCACACACACTCGCACACATGCAGCTGGCTCTTTATGTTTTGCCAACTCAGCAGAGCAGATGCCTGAGAGAAAGGAAGTATGTGTTGTGTGTGTTTTTGCACCACCGACTGCTGCTTCTCTCCTTTCTTACTACATTCCACCAGCTCAGACTGGTTTACATTAGTTTAGGCCAGCCAGTGCGAGTGTGTGTGTGTGTGTGCGTGCCGTGCATGCATGTGATCCTATTCTGGGTGTGTATGCGAGACAGTGAAGACAGTACATTTTAGTGTGGCTCTTGAACCACCACCTACAGGAACATTTCACACTGCCTATTTGTCCTCATTTAAGCTTAACAAAGATCATTTTTTGCAGACCTTTAATAATTTAGACTGTAATTTGTTATTTGTCATGTTTATGCAGAAAGGTAATCTGAGGTGGAATCTAGCTTTAAAAAAAGGGGGAAAAAGGCCCACTGTGGTTTAAAGGCCTTTACTAAGATGGCTGAAACAAACCCATATCTACACACGCCAGCTACCTGACCTTGAGGGCCCTTCTTTTCTGTTTCAATGAAGCAGTATTTATCAGAATGTGCTTTGAATAATCAGAGTGTGTACGCATTAAGGCTATGTGTTGATGTAAATATGGCCCTGCCCTAACTGCCCCAACTGCTCCAACCTTGCACTACGACATTTGACCTGAGTGTACAATAAATTAAATTACTTCACCGAGAGCTGATTCTTGGTAAAAATTGATTTTATCCACAAACATTAGAACTGAATACTGAACTTTGGAAACAAATACTTCAGTAGGCATGTTTTTATCTGTTGTAACATGTGTGGGTTGTATTTTGTGTGTGTGTGTGTGTAGTGTAACTACCTCCACGGCCAGCGCTCCCAAGTTCTCCAGAAGATTGTCGGTTGCTGCTGACACTTCCTGGACTACTTTGGGGTCTGACCTCACATCCTTCTGTTATAGAGAAAGGGCATTGTATTTTCATTTTGAGTGTACAATTAATACATCCTGGAAAAAAGACATACAATGAAACATACAATCAAACTCAATTGATGAGCAGGGGAGGAAGGAAGGCAACACGACTAATAAAAAGTTTGCGGCAGTACTTAAAAAATCGAATTAAATTAAATGTGTTTTTTCTCGTATGGTATGATACAATATAATGGACAAGAAAAGGCACATGACAGATGCAGGGAACGGTGAGAAGGAAAAAAAAAGCCTGTTGGTGGGAGGAGAAGGAAAAGCATTGGGTCAAAGGTGAGGAATGAGGGGACAGCCGAGAAAAGAATAACATGGTCGGCTTTGGGCCTCCTGTGGTTCCCGGTCAGTCAATACTGCTGTGTGTGCGTGAGTGTGTCTGTTCTCGTCTGTCACACTAACACTGTCAGCTGCTGGGACGTCTGATAGAGCACAGGTGTCGCTGAAGACAGAGCAGATACTGTAGCTTTCTAGCACGTTCTCTCTGTCGGTTGGTTTGTTTCTGCCTTGTTTTCTTTTCACCTTAACGATTTCTATCCCTTTCTCTCTTACACACACACACACACATTTACACCCACACATTAAAAGTGTAACTAGGAGGAGGCAATAGAGAAGGCTTGAAGGGTGGTGCAAAAGTTCATGCCCCTTTTAACAACAACTTTACTTTTGGAAAAACTTCCATTCTTGCACCAAAGGTTTGAAGGTCTATAAAGGAAACATCATGTGATATGGGTGAATTACTTCTTTCTAAATTTTACAAATGTGATTCTTTTTAAAGACACGCTCTTTTTCCTTTGTCTGTTTCTCCTTCTTAAAGGAATCAGTGCTACAACATTCAACTGTTTGTTTCACCTCTTGCCATCCTTCACCATGCGTGGGACCTCACATTTAGGTCATAGGTTTTATGGGGAAGAGGGCAGACTGTTCGGGGAAGATACAGGGAGAGGATCGAAGGTGACCACTGGCAGGGAAGGGAGGAAGGGAGGGATGAGGAGGAGGACGGAAAATGAGTAAAGAAAAACAAGGGAAAGAGTTAGCATAGAGTTGTATCATTTATTTGAGCAGATAATATTGTATGTAGTTGGAAATTCTGTGACATTCCAGAATTATGTCTATAACAGATGATGTGTGAGTCAAGACACATATCTGTGTGGAGTGAGATGTGTGATGTGGTGTTGGGTATGTGATACTAATGTGTATTCCTGTAGAAGAACTGGGATATAGTCTATTATGAATTATTATGTTTGCCACTGGACAAATTTCTTAAGTGCTGGTGGGATTAGAATATGATTCATATACACATTTTGATTATTCTGAAAGTTCAGTTTTTCTCTTACTGTATTATATTTGCGTCAAGTTGTGCTCTCTATGTAGTTTTAGTTTTTGTGTGTGTAAAGTCTGGTGTGTACAGTTATTTGTATAAGAATATTCTGAGCAGGTGCCTTATTGTCATTTCCTTGTGTATTTTTCGATTCTTCATGTTCTTATTATATGTTGGTGGAGTAGATAAAGTGTATGATCAATAAACAAATAATGATTTGTGATCCCTAACTGAGTATGAGTGTGTGTGAAGGAGAGCCGATGAAGAGGTATGA